TTAGTCCAGGTGGCATCCAGAGCCAGGCGAAGGAGTGCTTCTCACCCCGATGAATACCATTAAAGTATCCGTAGGTCTAATTCCCTTTCTGTGTGTTTGGAGTAGACAACCGTGAGGGATAAACTTTACTTACAAACTTAGCTTAAAAATGAACATTAAGATGATTTAAGTGTAGCACTCAAGTGTTTTATATGGTATGAAATCAGTAAGCAATCAGGGTCTCCGCTGCTACAGTGCTGAGCACAGCATAAGCATCTGTTAGGGCAGAGCAGGCTGAACTGGAACGGAACGGGGAGCTGTGATTTATTCTAAAAGATGGAAGCTATCCGAGGCTTTTGCCTAACGAACCTGTTCCTACAGCCACAGCCTGAAACACCCCCTTGGTGCTGACCCCAGGCACAACGCTGCAGGGCCTGAGGGTTGTTTTGCCACGGAAAGGATGCCTGGGCGGGGTGAAGCTGATTTCACGGGGTGGAAGTAGTTCAGCTACTTTGGCAGCCCTAAGCAGGACAGCGATTCAGAGGGCAGGAGAGTTTTCTTACTGATCTCAGCAGCAGGTTGACCTGTCAGCTGGCTGACTTACCTGGATCAGAGCTCGTCTGGCCTGAGCAGGGGGAAAGGGCAGGGGTGACAGGGTCTGAGAGTGCTGGGAAGCGAGGGAAGGGAATGGCATTTCAGCTGCTGCAGCCTGTGACATGCACCAGCTGCTGCCTCCCAGCTGCCAGCGCCTGATTCTGCTGCCGTGTTGTCGGAGGGACAGGATCCAACCTGGCGTCAGCGCTCGTACTCTAACTCGTCTCCTTTTCTCCACCTGGTGGACTTGCTAAATGTGCTTTCGTTTCAGTGCTTTTACAGAAACTCCCCAGCGCTCTCTGCAGAAACAGCTCCACTTGGCTGTCACTGGTCCCTGCTCCCTTTGCTCGGACCAGTAGTGCCAGGATGCACCGGGATGATCCCAGGGCCAGCTCCCAGCTAGGGGCAAGGTCCCATTAAAGTGGGATAGGCCAGCTCAGCAGTGACTGCATTTCAGGGCACAGCTCCCTGCTTCCCCAGTTGGGACTTGCTCCGCACACCGGCCTGGGTGCTATAGGGCAAGGAAGTACCAGTGGGTCAAGGCCCTGGGGCACCCCTCAGCACCCTCTCTGCAGCAGCCCAGCCAGCTCCTGGGGAGGGGGCCATGAGACCCACGCCCCACGCGGCTCTGGAGGTGGCAGGTTTGGGGCTGGGCTGAGCAGATCCTGGGGATGTGGTGGCTCCCGCAGGTTGGCCAGGCTGGGGGTGGTGGGGCCATGGGACAGTGCAGGGACTCCTAGAGCAGGGCCATGGTGGCTGCTCCAACGTGCTAACACCGGTGCTGTACCAGCAGAATGAGGGGTGTGACTTCTATCCTCTGGAGGGGGCAAGGGGATTAACATCATAATTTGCTTTGCATGGGGTGTTTAAAGGTTCACTTAGGGAAGGCTGTGCAAGGAACTGCAGATTGGTCGAGACTTTGGTTCTGAAGTCACCAGGACAGTTCTCCAAACACCTTCAGGAAAGCCGAGTTGTGAACAAGCTCCATCTCGCTGCAGACTATGGGCCAGGCCCGCACAGACAGACTGTGTGCTGTTTGCAGTGTAACAGCCCGCGGGGGTTCCTCGGCAGGGCTTCCCTCACAGCCACACCACCGAAAGCCAAGAGTTTTCTTTGAACTCTGGGGTAGGATGTTCTGGCAGTGTCCGACACTGTCCCACCCCTCCTATCCATGCTGCCCTGCCTGCTGGGATGGGGCAAGAGCAGCGCTGGGGCAGGAATGGGGCGAGGGCAGGGCTGCCCACTCGAGGGCAGGCAGAGTCGCCAGCGCATTTTGATTCAGCTCAAGCGCGTTGGGTCCTTCGTGCTGACGGAGGGCTGGGGTTGCGGAGCGTGGTGAGGGGGCAAGTGGGGATGTGCGGGACGCTCTCTGATGGCTCACAGCCCGGGAAGACCACAGGCCTGGGGACCACCGGGTGCCCCACCCGGGTCCCACACCTCGCGAAGGGCGCGGGGCAGCCCCCGCACGCACCACAGCAGGGCCCGCTGCTCCCGACTGCCCTCGGCGGCCGCAGCTCCGCTTTAGCCCCTGAAGCTGCTGCG